GGAAGTAACATACAACCCTTGTAGGGGGCAGAAAAAAAAGGGTTCATTGTTTCTTCAATCACGTGTGCTAAAAAGAGGAAAAGTGTAAGAGATTTTTTGGAATAAGCAGGGGAGACTTTTCCACAGTAAAGGGCAGTAAATGAAACAGCTTTTTTCCCCCTTAACCTCAGGGACATACAAAACCACATCTGCTTCTTTCTCAAAAGTCATTGACTTATGACCAAGAACCAACTGAGGGTAGGATTTGGCTTCAGTACTGCCCTGGCTTCTGGCCTCTGACTCGGGCCCAGATAACCTGAGTAGGCAGACACATCCCTGTATTCATGCTGACACATCCTTTAAATCCATACTCACCTCTGCGGCTAGACGCAGAGGTTGAAACTTAGGTATTGCATCAGAAAAGTCCTGAGCTAATCACTTCAGAGCAAGGACATAGCAGAAGCAAGAACAGCTGAGCTGACATTTAGGAACTCCTACAATGTATTCAACTTCTGCTTTAAATACACCTGAATGCTGTCTAATTTCCAAACCCCTCCCCACCCCAAGTCAACCAACTTAACAGGCGATCCAAGAGAATACATAAAGATTCTGGTTAATGCGTGGGATGAATAAAGCAATGAACACGATCCTAAGAGAAGTATTTGTAATCTGTGCTGGAATGAGGGCATCAAAAGATGCTGCAGGAGGAAGGAACTCTGTGGGCGTTTGTCCCAGATAGGCAGATCGCTCAGTTGATTTAGGTCACCCCATAAGACAAGTGACAGTAACCTGGAAGCCTGCTAATGCTCCACCCAGTTGCCTTTAACAGGAGAACCTGCCTGAGCAAGGAGCCTGTAGCTTGGCATGACAGTCTTCCAAACAAAGCCGTTTAGCTTTAATGATTTTTAGGTCAGGGCAAAGGGAATAGAATAGCTGCAAAAGCAGCTCCTCTCACCTCCATCTGTGAGAACAAGTCTTGGTCACACAGTGAGATGGGGACAAGGAGGTGTCCTGGGATCTATGAATGGACAAAGAACTGGAGGGCAGTCCAAGCAAGAAGACCTAGCTGGGCAGGAACCAGAGTCTGTGCTGCCTATGGAGGAGTGACAGGTATTCTCCTGTCCTCATCGCTGGCACAGTGCAGCAGAAGCAGAAAGCAAGCAGCTTGAAGGCTGTATTACACCTGGTCTGAACACTGACAAACTGACAAGATCAACAAAACCAATATTTTGTTGACTTCATCTCAGTTCTCTGACTGTAGCTTTATATTGTAGTTGTGAGATACACCCAAAGATTCAGGAGAAATATAATTTTAAAACATTGTACAGCTCCCATGCCAACCTCCTTCTCCTCAGCCGTAACACCTTCATTGTGTCATGCAAGATGAGTGATAGGAGGAAGCTGAACCTTTGCAGAGTTCCCGAGACTCCCGCTATGGCCGCAGCACAGGCACAGCCACACCAGCAGAACAAGGACTGGATCTGCTTGCCTTGTCCTTCTTCCCCTGGAGACTCCCTCCTCTTCCTCCTCCTCCTCACTGACCCTGATACAATGTTACAAAACCACACCGGCATCTGGAGCACAACCAGCCTGCCAAGCTAAAACATCATCTCGCAAAGGGTAGCGTCCTGAGCCCCACATGTGAAACGCAAGAGGATTTTGTTTGCAGGATGATGTAGAAATAATGCTGGAGAGCAATCAGAAAGTAGATACCATCCTCCCTGTGCTTTAAGAAGTCATTCAAATGCAAATGAGCTACTGGACTCCTCTCATTGTGCAAGGCCTAGGTCCTGTCCAAGACAGCATTACCCAAAAAAGCTGGCATGCTCCAACTCCTTGTCCCAGGTCTGTTACTGCTTAGTGGGCGAGAGTCAGTGGCCTCAATGTGACAAGGGGTCATTGATCCATGATAAAACCACAGCAGAAAACAAGCAAGTTTTACTCCTGTGATCACTGATTGGAAAAAAAAAAATAAAAAAACTAAAAGAAAGCTATTTTAATTCCAGCCAAAATTAATTTCATAACATTTGGAAATGGTTTCTTCAAAAAAAAAACAACTAAATGCCACATTTCAGAGGACTAATCCACTAACCAGCTATGTTTCTCAGAAAACTGTAGATCAAAGATACTTGTTTCATATACAAATATACACAGTGTATATTTAAGGCACTGAATTTTCACAAAATCTTTCAGAAAGCTGAAATATCTAACTCTAGAGCTGGGGTTTTTTGTTAATACAGCATTCTTTCAGCATTCCACATAAAAATAAGCAGCATGCATGCTGCAGACACAAGACATAACCCACGCTTTTTTCCAAAACCCAAAGGTTTTATAAAATCCTGTAACTACTCCACAAAGCTATCTAACAAAATAAAAAGCAATAATGAAAGTCTTTAAAAATCTAAATAAAAAGTCTTTTATCCAGCGAGACGGAGAGAAATATATTCAAACCATAGTATCTTAAAATAGATTTGTGTGCTCTCAGTAGTGATAGGCTAAATTACACATGCCTATTTCAGACTTCCAAGATAAGAGTTTATTTTATAATGGTAGCATTATGTTTTTAAAATCACATTTAGAATACTTTATAAATTCTCTGAAGTTGGTGCTTGTCAGATTTTTAACAATTTTGAAATGAGATTTTAACAGGTAACAAATTAAGAAAGATGCAGGCAGAAAAACCTGCATGATGAGAATATACTTTTTTTTTAAAACTTTTATTGCTTACACAGTGTCAAAACCTGCTTGCAAAGACATCTGTTATCTCTTTCCAGAAACAGACACCATCTTCACACTTTCAAAGCTTAGGTACTGCATGCAAAAAAACCCAAACAAACATTTGAATGGGATCTAACACAGGAGAAATAAGCAATTTTGTAAGAGAGTTTAATATCAGTTCATAGATAAATAAGACTCATCAATAACCCAGAGACCTCCTCCAGTCTTGACCAAAAAACAAATGTTATGGGCACATAAGTACGAAATCAGTACCTGGTATCCTGAAACTAAAATCTAAAAACCTCACTATACTGATCCATAAAAATAATATTCAGTTTGCAAAAGACTGAAGGAGTGGGTAAGGATTTTTTGCTATGTAAGTTTTAAAATATTTATTGATCAAATAAAAACAAAATGTTATTATTTCGATTGCTATTACAAAAACAATTTCTGGTATCCACAGATCAACATGAAGCATGCAAATACCCTTGTTATTTTACACCGAGATTTTAAGACTAATTAGATCGATTAAATCTGTAGTACAGTCAAATGATTTTAGTTATTTTAATCAGAAAGCACCCAGCTCTCAGAAGAAGTGTTTTTAATAAATACAGGGAGTAACACTAGTGGAAAGTGTGTTACAGTTCAAAAATTTGAAGGTAACCTATTGTAACTACAACCAGGTATTTTCTTAACTGGTTTACAAAATAATACCTAAATAATAACGTGGCTTATTTCCCAAATTAAACAAAACCAGGTCTCATTAATAACAATCATATCTAGTTCTTATCAGAGATTTTTAGCAATAGATAGCAGTTAAACACATTAATATACCTGTCATTTTCTATTGCTTTCACAAATACTTTGACATCACATATCTGACATCTAAAAGTAATACTGATCTAAAAAATAGGTGTTTCAAGATTTCTTATTATAAAGGCAAAAGTGCTGACAAGCACTTTTTCTAAGCAAATAGCAGTGCAGACTTAAACGGCGTAATCACTTTCAGAAATCTTGAAAATTATGAACTAATTATGACATACCAGATAGAGGTAAAAGCAAACAACAATCATTTTCAGTTACGATGTTTAACAGAACTGCTTACAGTTCTCTCTTTCAATGGTGCTTTTGCTGCTTCTCCTGCATAACAAAACCTCACATCTATTCAGAATCTGCCAGTTTATCACTTAGAGAGATTTATTAATTTGTTTCATCAGTGCTCAGTAAGGAAACCAAACCGTACTTCTGCCTCTAGAGATCCAAATTCGAATCTCATAAAAATACAAAGCTCGGATACTATGGAAATAATTCCAGTCTGATCCTTACATGTGAGCTGATTTTGACCTCTGAGAATGGGAGTCGTTTGTGAAATCAGGGGTGGCCTTGCGTGCAGAAGAAAAGCAGGATCGAGCTTGGAATTAATTTTTTTTCTGATGTTCCTATGTATTTATATGTAAACACAACTGAAAATAGATCGGCAGTTTTCTACATACAGCCTAATTATTGACGGGAATGGGATCAAGTGGTCCATACTAATTTTTTGGAAAGAAATTAAGGTCTCATTGAGTTAAATGGCAAAACATCAGTTGATTTCAAGCAGAGTGGGATTTCAACCTTGGTATTTGCGGGGAAAGGGTTGTTTTTTTTTTTTCTTTTTAAAATGCTGGGTTTTATGCTCCATGTTTAAGCCTGCATTAATGAGAACACCTGAAGGATATGTCCCTCCCTTCCCAAAATAAATTCTGAGGAGACTCCTCCTGTATATCCTCCAGCTGTATGTGCTCTAATTAAAAAGGCTGTGCTGCTTCCTGCTCAGAGCACTTCAAAAGGCCTCGCTGCTCCCCTTGACAATGCATCGCCCAGTGCTGGTTCCTCTTACCTGTCCATGCTTATTTATGGCAAGCACCACTCACTGGAAGCCATAAACTGTGCCCGTATTTTACTCTGTCTGAAATGTATAGCACGTTTATGTGAAAGGTGTATTAATGATCAAACTAATCTTTAAAAAAAATTGTAAAAAACAGGGTGTGTGAGGGAAAATAGTGTCGTTTGCTCTTTGGTTTCCTCTTTTTTAGGAAAGAAAAAGAAGCTGACAGTTAATACGTGACCTTTTTTTTCCCCAGCCTTTTTGTTCTTATTTTATGTGGTATTAAGTAAAAATATGCAAGACTTAAGATGTAGAAAAACACTTTGATTCTCATGCTGAATACTGATTGTTGGCCACCTGAGACTGACCTCAAGCGACATGATCGGTTTTCTCAAAACCATTTTTGGGGCAAACTCAAATCCAGAAAAAATAGTGTAAGTCTGCAGCCATTTTGAAATAATAGGAGGAAAAAGGGGCGTTTGGCACATTTAGGAAATTACTTTTTTAAAACTACAGTATTTACCATTCTTAACCTTTGCAAAAAGCTCTGGGATTAATCCTTTCTCGTCAGCAAAATTCAAAGGTGTGATGTTTCCAATTGTCCCTGCGATTTAGTTAATAGCAATGGAAAGAAAACTTGTTATTTTTCACTTGTATTTGTGCCTTCAAGTTTCACAGCTAATTTTAAAGAGGAAAAACGGTGAGAACATAAAATCACAAGTAACATACACATGAGAGAGCTGTCCTGTGCTTAAAAAACTCGAGTGGAGTAGCGAGCTCCTCAGAAAGGCGGGAGGCGTCAGAAGACACAGGGGCATGCTGGGTTTCTGGCACCGGTATGGGGCTTGCAAGGCACAATCTCCAGAGGATTTGGAGCAGAGGATAAATAGGAAGGGAACTGAACTCTCACACCCAAATACGAAGCGCGGGCCGCTGGCGAAGGGGCTGCCTGGCGCCTGGGCCCAGGCCGGAGCGCTGAGGCAGGCCCACGGAAGCTGCCAAGGCGGGACGGCCCAAG